ATATATATATACATATATATATATATATACATATATATATACATACATACATACACATATACATATATATGATTAAATATGTATGTATGTATGTATGTATGTATGTATGTATGTATGTATGTATGATTAAACATGTGGTAACTCAGTTCCAGAGAATGAACTTATAATCCCTTATACACACACACACACACACACACACACACACACACACACAAACATACAGAGTATATGGTCTTGTTTTTAGCAGGCATGTAGGAATTGGAAAAATATAGGCTGGCTGTGGTTAGAACCATCCTTTTGTCTCCGGAAACAAGAATAGTAGGAAAAAGGATGCTAAGCAAATTCAAGCCTTGTTGTAAAATGGGCCAAGATATGTTTTGTCAATCAGCCTGTTCCTAGTAGTTCCATTCTGTCCTGCATCCCTATCTAAGGATTGTTGGAAAGAAAGTTGGCCAAAAAATTCTGGATGATTATTAGGGAAAGGATTTACATTTTGTGCATGCAGGAACGTCCCATTAATTGAGCAACATTGCTGTCATAATTTAAAGGTAGGGAGGGGCACAGAGACTGTGTCCGCTATAAATAGTTCTCATCTCAATTCTTCCTAATGTCATCTCATCTGCCCCTGGTTCACCCATTATTCATAGTACTCCATGCTCACTATTCCAGGCTTTGTGACTAAGTTAGATGCCTGGCAGGTTGGCAAACCTTTCTGGCAAATCCCGTAGGCTGGTATGTAGCACTTTCCCTTAGCAGGTAGCATTTTAAAATAAATAGAGAGCTTCCTAATTTGGTACTCTTCAGAAGTGTTGTATTATAAATCTACTGTTGTCAACTAGTGTGATCAGGCTATGTAACCCAACACATCTGGAGGGCACCAATTTGGGATCACTTCTATAATTATATATTAGATTATACTAAGAAGCATCATAATAATCCATAAGTAGTTACGGTCAATTCAATCCAGACATGGAGCTACAAACTCCACCCACAATCTAACCAGGGAAGCCCAATCACTTATATGGGACTGAAGGAATTCTGCCAAAATCTCATATCCCTCTGTAGTTCAGGGAATTCTGTGTTCACTTCCTGATTGGCCAGAGATATGTGACTATTAAAGGATCACTAGATATATGATTTGCTAAAAGGAAGAGAGTTTGACAGACTGAGCTCATGACAAAGGCACCCCGGGGGCAGGACATACCTCTTAATATCAGTGACTGCAAGAGATATCAGAGAAGAGAGTACACAGTATAAAAGACTGGGAAACTGAGTCAGGATCTGAGGAGTAGGTGAGAATATTCACATTTCCAGGACAAACAAAGATAGATATGGATATGGACAACAAGATAAAATGGGCAACGGAGCTGATTGAAGAGAAGATGAAACTGGAAGATGAAAAGCAGAAAGTGAGTATCGAAAGCCAAATAAGGCTGGTTACTTGGGACTCAGGCAGCAAATGAAGATACAAAAGATGGGACCTGGAAGCTTACTGGAATACTAAACTGGAGATTGAAGATGTTGGCATAAGTCAGGCAAAATATTCTTGCTAGTTTTATCAGAGTTTTGTTAATTGGTTCAGAAAGCAGATTTAAAGAGGAAGTCATATTTTGACCTTGAGTTTTAATTTTATGATTTAAAAAGTGGGAATGAAGTATGTTGCTACTTTTATTAGAGTATAGTATACCAAGGTCACCCCACCCACCCCCCAAAAACCCCAAATAATCCCAAACTCTAATTATTAAGAGAGAAAGCCTCATTCTTGTATTGGATCTGGATAGCTTGGTGGTAAAAATCAGGTTTCAAGATAACTATAGGTTACCCTGGGAGCAGCAAGAGATTATCATTTTTTTACTTTTTATATTTTTCTTAATTGATACTATTTTTTAGCCTTGTATTTGTAAACTTTAATAAAATTATTTAGAAGGAAAAGAATTTCGATGAATCTAACAAAACCCTCAAAAGTAGAATGCACCATAAATTAGAAAAAAGGGGGGGGGGGAAGCAGAGAGCAGAAGCCTCAGGATTGGACACTTTCTCCATTTTTTTTAACCCAGAAAAAACACTCCTCTGCAATGCCACCAGAAGTGGTCCAGTTGGATATCCCACATCTGGAGGAGGAGAAAAAACATGGACCTGTTAAGAAGGACATTGCAAGTCTTAAGGTGAGTGGGACTCTTAGATCCTATTTTACCTATTCTACCAACAAAACCCACACCCAGAACATATTTCATTGCGTAAAACGTTCTCTGTTTATTGGTCACTAGTTTTTCATGATTCCAGGAGTGGTAACATAACTCAGTTGAATATAAATTGATTTCATTTGCAAATGAAATTATTTTGTTTATTTCTAAACTACCAGCTATCTCAGAAAGGATGCACCAATGGATGTCTTTAGTAAAATAGCAGAATCCTTCATTTGGTCACCCATTTATTTAAAGAA